CCCTCCGGTGCTCGATTTGCTGCTGATGGGGGGCCCCCCTTCATACCGCTGGCTGTCTTTGTACCCTTTGGGGGCCCCAGGGGCCCCCAAGGGGCCTCAAAGGAGGGGCCCCCTGCAACGGCTGCTGCGTTTGGGTTTGCTGCTGCTGCACCCCACGCAGCGGAGGCTGCAGCAGCAGCAGCAGCAGCAGGCTGCTGCAGCAGCAACGCTTGCTGCGCTGCAGCAGCAAAGCCGCACATACACAGAATCCCAAGAGGCACAGCAAGGGGCCCACCGGGCCCCCAAACTGCTGCAGCGGGGGGCCCCCAGGCAAGGGTCCCTAGAGCCTGCCCAAGGGGGGCCCCCGGGGCAGCAAGGGGGGCCCCTGCTGCTGCGAGAGGGGCCCCCGCTGCTTCAGGGGGGCCCCCCGCTGCTGCAGGAGGGGGGCCCCCTGCAGCAGGGAGGGGGTGCCCCCCTGCTGTTTGCTCAGGGGGTGTGGGGCCCCGCAAGCGATTTGCTGCTGCTCGTGGGTCTTGGCTGCTCCTTTTGGGTTTATGAAATGGCTGCTGCAGTGCAGCAGCAGCAGCAGCAGCTACTAGTGCTGCAGCTGCTGCAGCAGCAGTGGCAGAGGCCACGACGCAGCAGGCGGCTGCTCCACGAACTTCGGAGGCGCAGCAGCAAACTACAGCAGCAGCAGCAGCAGCAGCAGCAGCTGCTCGATATGTGGGGCCTGCCATCCTGGCCCGCCTTTGAAATTATGTCTCATATACACAAGGTCTTGGGTAAACCCTAAACCCTAAACCCTAAACCCTAGGCCTCAAAGGCTAGTATCTGAAGTCCTGTCCGGTAGCAGGGGCACTAAAGTCTGAGCCTAAGGATTCAGGGTATAGGATTTGGGGTTTAGGGTTTAGGGTTGAGGGTTTAGGGTTTAGGGTTTAGGGTTTACGTTTCGCAGCTGCGAACAGCAAGGCTTTGCTGCAGGGTCCCCGCAGCGAGGTGAGGGGCCCCCGCGGTGTAAAGGCATTTAAAATAAATGATCTCATTATTGCTTGCAACGCACGTAAGCTGCTGATGCTGCTGCTGCTGCTGCTGCTGTTGCTGCTGCTGCTACTGTGGTGCGGCTGCTGCTGCAGCTGTGGTGTGACTTTTGCTGCTGCTGCTGCTATGGTGTGACTCTTACTGCTGCTGCTGCTGCTGCTGCTATGGAAGTGACAGCGGTTTTTATTGCTGCGTCAGATCGGCAGAGCAGGTTGCCTTTGTTAGCAGCGGCAGCAGCAGCAGCAGCAGCAACAGCAGCAGCAAATGTGTTATTCTGCTACAGGCCGGAGACCCAAAAGTGTTCACTGGGAAGGGGCAGAGGTGCGCATACACCCCAATTCTTGTGTGCTGC